TTACTCTGTATGTATTGATGATGTTACTTGGCAGCCAATGGAGCTCCTTAAATTGGGGGTGGGGGGGGGTGGTAGACCGCTCCCTGTAATTTGCTCCCATTAGCAGTCTGGCTGCCGGTCGTTGGACCACTTGAAGTTTCCAGACCATCTTCAAGGGCAGCTCCACATAGCGTGCATTGCAAAATTTCAGTCTAGAGGTAACTAAGGCAAGGACCCCCATAGCAGATCAGATTTCATGAGGTACGGTCACAGGTGGCGCATGAGTTTTGATGGTGTGAAGGAAGGCCCTCCTGGCCACCGCCGGCACCTGGGCATCAAGCACCAACGCTGAATCCAGGAGGACCCCCAAGCTGCGGACCTGTGTCTTCAGGGGGAGTGCGACCCATCAAGCACAGGTTGCCACCCTAGACCCCCATCCGACATACGACTGACCTGGAGGATCTCTGTTGAGGCTTTCCTATGTCAGAAGGGCTTCCTAATATGTCTCCGGCTATTTGAGTCCATGGCTCCATTGTGCCCAGCTTGGCCCTTCCCCCTCAATGGGATGAAGGCAGCACAAAGTGCCACGGGCGGGGGTCCTTTGGACAAATAGGGTTGATGTAGAGATAAAATTTAGGGGTCTTTGCCAGGAGGCAGAGACCAATTAGACTCATCAAAGAGTTCTTTTTCCCTGGCGAGACAAAGAAGCATCCCATATTTTTCCCTGATTTCCCAATGAAAAGTCTCACCAGTTGAAGAAAAGCCATTGAGGTTTAATGCGATTCAGCTGAAACGGATGCAAAGCTGCAATCATTCGCCAAGCTAAGCATGAGGGGAGTACACCAATACAGTCATATTTATAGGAAATTCAAAGTTGCAGAGTTCAAACTCCCTGCCCCGGCTTCCCTGTTCTTCCCTGCCATGATTGCGCAATGGGCAAACAGCTGGGAGGCGGCCCTCCCGCCCCCGGTGAATGTTTCTAGAACAAGGCCATACAGCCCAGAAAACTCACAGCAACCCAATGATAATGATAATAATGATAATGATAATGATAATAATAATATTGTACGGGACCCCAGGGTGGGGGCATTCAGTCCAACTCCCTTTGGACAAGCAGGAAGATACAATTGGATCCCCCCCAATCCCTCCTGTTTAAAAGCCTCCAAAGAAGAAGCCTCCACTGGACTCTGAGGCACTGAGTCCCACTGTTGTCTTCAGCTTACATATAGCCTCATGACTCTGTACTTACTTTGTTTATATGACTTTTTGCATTGAATGTATCCCTGAAGCCTATACACAGTGGAATCCCTATCCAAACCCAGAACGGTTACGTTTGAGAGCGGTTGCTCCTTTTGATTTCTGTGTACCACTGAATTGAGCTTTGTACTGGGGATTTTGGTAAATAGAATATTATATGTTTTCTTGATAATACACTTTGACATTACGCATAGATTGTTTTGTGTTTGTACTGATATCTTACAAGTACTCTGGGATATTGTGTAGTAGTTACTGCTAAGTAAACAAAAGCAGAGGGGGAGGTTTCCCCTTATCTTACAGAAACTTTTGTCAAACAATTCTTTACTCTAGTGGGCCATTTCCGATGCTAGAGATAAGAATTTCCTTCTTTTATCCATTTCCTTCTTTTCCCATGGTCCTTGGAAAACTACAGCTCTCGAGAGAGAGGCAGAGACCCCAGGGTCTAGCTATTCCCGAAGTTTCATGGGGTCCTCATTGTTGTTAAGGCCTTGGCAAATTGACCAAGACTTAACCCCTATTGTGCAGTCTGGTACCTTTGCAGAACTATAAGTCACCATCCCTTGTTAAGGGGGAGGGGCATGCTCGACTTCAGGGTTTGTGTGCACCAAAGGTTTGATTTTGTATTCCTGCCTGAGTCATTAGTAGTACCCAGTTCTGGCAATGTCGCATGGAATGTACTGTTTACATAAAGCAGTTGCATGTTTATGCTGTGTTTAAGGGTGAGGGGGGGTGGGGGGGGG